TTTTTTTTCTTTTTTTTAGCAAAGTCCCTCTCAACAGGAACTGACCGGAGGGACTGACTGCTGACAGGGCCCAATTCGGCCTTGGGCTGTATTAACGGAAGTGTGAGTGGACTCTGGAGGAGCCCTGGTGGGGAAGGGGGTTAGACATGGGCAGCAGTTCAAAACGACTCCAGAAAAATGACGCTTTCTAAGCCAGGAAAAATCCACGGTCTCAGAAACCCACAGGGGAAGTTCTACTGTGTACGATGGAGTTATTATGAACCGGAATCAGCAGCCGGGAGAAAGGCGACAGTCCCTGTTTATGCTAATCAGAATGTACCTGGAGCACGGTACTGTTTCCTTCACCCTATGTGGGAGGGCTGCTGAGGAACGGAAGCGCGGCCACAGGGCAGTGAGTAGGGTCTCCGAAATACATCCGTGAGCAATGGTTGTGGAAGTAGGGCTGTTAGATTTGGGAAAGAGAAGGACCTGGGAAGAGGCATGAGCCATTTGCTGCATCACCCATCGGAGAGGCTGTCACAGAGAGGAGGAAGGAAATTTGCAAAATGGTCCCAGAAGGCAGACCTTGCTGCAGAGGGAGAAAGTGGCAGCATATTCAAATCTGGGTCCATAGCAGGACTATGTTTCTATCAGAACCTCCTACGGGCAGCCCTGCGCTTCAGTGAGCTGCCCGCCTGGGGCAGGATCAAGCAGAGACCAGGCGGCCTTGCTCTTCAGGGATCGTTACACTGGGCTGGAGAGCAAAGGAGAGGGACAAGCCTCCTCCATTTCATGCAAAGACCAAAGTCCGTTTTCCTCTGGCCTCCGTTCAGCGTTTGAGAGTCACAGTCAACCGTGTCGCCCAATGTCGAAGGACACAGAGAAAGCCGTCTCACTTGGCCTCTCTCAATGGGAACACTCAAATGACGAAAAGGAGTCCCTGGCAGTGTAGGCAATGAACGCACTTGGCTGCTCACGAAGGGGTTAGAACTCTGAATTCACAGGGAATCTTCCCTGGAAGAAAGGCAGACTTAGAAAGCAGCCATTCAAAACCCCGCGGAACACCGGGAGTCTGAATCAATTCCAGTTCTGTTTGGATGTATCTAGTCAGCGAAGGCACTCATCTATGGTATACGACTATATGACTACCCCTCCCAGCTTCAACCCCAACCCTGTAAGCACAGTTATTTTCCTTTTTAACCGGTAAAAATTCGGTGTTCTCTTGCATCATTGGAGGAGGGCGCTTCCCAAAAGCGGAGGGATACAGCTACAGGGCAGGGTCTCAGAGACTGAAAACTTTCTACAAGGTGAAAATCAGAACTTTTTTTTTTTTACTTCTCTGTGACCAAACATACTATGATTATTTCTAAGCGGACTAAATTGTGTTTTTCTGGAAGCATGTGGAGAGATTTTAATATTGACCTTAATATAGCACCCCACCACCACCGACATTTTTCATATAGGTGTTACGAATCTGCTTTAAAATAACAGATCAAGAAAGGTACAAACATCTTGAAAGAGCGCAAAAATAATTTCCCAAGTTAGCAAATATAACTTTGCACTTCAAATCGGGCCTCGATTCATTAAAAATCTTAAACTTCTCATGAGAAAAATTAACATTTAAACCACTGCTGCTTGGCCAAGCACTCCACCACACAAGAATATGAAATATCTCCTCTAAAAAAGTACAAAAAGGACAAAACCACAAATGTGGAACTTCAATTAATTTAAAGCCCCAATCAGCAAAGAATAAATCCTTCGCAGATCTAATTACCAGCGCTCTCGGAAGACCCAGGCCGACCAGCCAATCTCCCCCGTGTTTGAACAGCTTGATGAACTAGGGGACTGATGGATATCAAGTCATTTTGTTTAATTTATAAATGGATTTTCCCCTAATACTTAAATTATCATCAGTACAACACAATGAAAATGGGAACATTCTGAATGCAAAGTCTCTACGAGTCCTGGAAGGAATCCCAATGAGGAATATCACCTCTGTTCATTCCTCTATACAATTGATCTAATTAAATACTGAGGGTGGAGAGGCAGTTTAAAATGTAGCCATTTCTGTTTTCTTTTTAGCCTTAATTTATCTGTTCACATCTTTCAAGTACCTTCTGATGCTTAAAAGAAGGGGGGGTGGGGGAAGAGCCAAGATTGCAGCAAGTCCCCAATAGTTTTAATTCCCTATAAGCTACTATTCAAAGAGGCCCCGGCCATAAGTTTGGCTGAATAATAAATACCTGCATGACAGTTAGCCCGGTGACAGGAAAAGCAAGAGGACGTTCCAAACCGGAACCGTGTCCCTCCAGTAATTTGCAAGGGAAACTAAAAAGCACCAATACTTTCTCTCCATACTGTTCAACTAAAATTAGATCTCTGGATTATCCTTATTAAAATGTCTCTTTATTTTCAAATCTCTTCCTTATTTAATTACTGCAAGGGACCGAGCATTGCATGGAATTGTTAAACACCGCTGGTCCTATTTATCATCTCTCCGCACCGGCAATCGGAGCACTATCTCTTGGCAAAGGTCCTGCTGGCCGACCCACACACGGGGGCGGCAATTCCCACCTGGCTCCGGGGTCTCCGACTGGGAGGAGGAAGATGCCGAGCTGGCTCCATCCTCAGTGGTGCCCTGCGAGAGGAGGCCCCGCCCGGGCGGAAGCTTCATGCCCAGCTGCTCTGCCATCTCCACGTGGTCCCCAGGGTGGACATAGTCAAAGACACTACTTCCCGTCAGCTCCACCTGGAGGAGGGGATGGGGGAAGGGGGAAAAAGAGGTGTCACAGGCATTCTTCAGCTTTAAAATTCAGCACCCGGGTGGTTCCGATTCTCCCCTCCAGTGAAATATAGAAATATGTGATATTTAGATACACTAGCTCCAGGAACAGTGTCCTGGCTCTAAGTGCTCCTCCTCAAATACTTAAGGATTCTTGACCTTGAAAGAATTTTCCCCCAACATGTATTTATTTAGCATTTGTTGAGCCCGTTTTTCTCATCCATGGTTGTTTGCATAAAGCCAAAACATTGTGTGCGTGTGGACCAGTCCGCCTCGCATGCCGCTGGTTTATCCATGCATCATCAAATGCCTGCATGTTCGCTGTCAGCCGGATGATTGACTGAATGCTGCAGTTGTCTTACTGAGAGCTCTGGGCTTTGTATAGAAACAGCCTGAGATAGCACACGAGTCATTTCTTTAAATACACAGATTTGCAAGATGCATTTTTATACGTATCAGCTTATTTCTATGTAAATTTAAATGTCTGAAGTGCTGCTTAGGAGTATATGGAAAGACATGATGTTTTCATTTAATATTTCTCATTAGCTCTGTAATCATTTGGAGAATTTGCCAGGCCAAAGAGAGTAAACGAAAGGTCACTGGGGTCTGAAGCAGCCAGTTTGTTTTGTTTTTTTCCTGCTGGTAACAGTGTGTTTTGCCTTTAATCTAATAAGGTAGATGACACAACTTTCCTTAAGGGCTCCTTTAAGGTGCCCCCCCCCCTTAGTTTGTGTACTTCTTATATTAGGCTGACTCAAGGTAGAGAAGGAATCTCAAGTCTGAAATGGAGCCGTGTCTCACGTCTAAGCCGTCAGGCACATGGCCCTGTCTGAGGGGGCAGAAGTTGCTGGTAAGGACAGGCCTTACCTCTATAGTCTCATGATGCTATAACTCGTATCTCTTTTCAAGACTAGCAATAAAGCTCCCACAGTAATGCACCGGGGTCACAGGTACTACGACAGGGAGCGATGTGTCAGCAACAGGACAAGGAACAGCTCTTTGTGAGGTTTCCCAGTTTTTAGGAGTTTAATGGTCGGAGGCCAGCTAAGACGTGCCACAGAACGACCAGTGCTCCCTGTTTTCACAGGTTTCTTGGTGAATGTTTACCTACAGCTCCCTCCTACCTCATGTCCCTTTGCAGTGTCATTTCCCAGCCCTTGAATGTCCATACATGTTGCTGTCAGGGAGGCTTTCTGGCTGTGGGTGAATTGTCTGTCACAGAGCATATAATACCCAGAGCAATTATTATCCCCAGAACTCCAAGTCCCGGTAAAATTATCACATCTACTCCCAGACTCCATTTAATTAAAATCTTAACAGGCTACACATCTTCAACATCTATCAATTAGCAAAGGTATAGCCAGAAAAATGGGAGGCTAAATTCGGTTTGGTTAATAGCTCTTCCTGCAAAGGGTTTGCCTACCTTTGACTGAAAATGAGCCACTTTCTCTCTGCTATTAAATTACACTTCCTACTGTATTACCCAACTACTGGCTATATCATTTTACAATGACTATTTCCTCCATTTGGTATTGTTTCAGAGCACAAATCAGGATTCATAAGTGATCAGTTCCTTTCCTCTGGGAGGGAGGGATTACATGTAAATAATCCCTTTAATATGCGCCTTGCCTCTAAGCATTTCACACAGCAATAAGTGGGTAAACTGACTATGAGCAATTAAGAAATTAAATGAAACTAATAGAATGTGTGCTTTAATATTTCTTGATGGTTATTTTGTTTGGGGATTAGTGGAAAGGAGGAAATCATTCTCATTTTGCATAGAGTCCAATTGTAGCACTGTCATAAAATGTTCTTAACTTTTTACTCTGCTTCAATACTGCAACGGGCCTTTGGGGCACAAGCCACACGGTGGGAGACACAACAGAGCTGAGATTCATGCAGGCCAGTGTCACAGAGAGAGAGGACTACCAGCTCCACAACCTGATTCACTCAGAGGAAATAGTTATTGTAAAATCATAATGTCAGTAGTTGGGTCTTACAGGGGTAATACATACAATACATACAGTAGGAGGGTGTAATTTAATAGCAAGGTGACAATGGCTCATTTTCAGTGAAAATTATGCAATTCCTTTCTATACAGTAATATCTCAAGTCCCATACATCTGGGCCTAGACTGAGTCACAAGGTGCCCTAGCACACTGTGGCTTGGTGAGGGTTTTCTATGCCATGGCTTGGGATCTTTTTACTGAGAAAACTCAAAGCCTAATAGCAAATGGAAATGCTGGCATGGTGAACTTGATGCTATCTCAGCATGCAGTTAGAAGACAGTGTAAATTATTGGCAAACATAACCTGAGTTTGAAGAGAAAGATGAGGTTTCTAACTCCTATTATGAGCTAACTGACTCAGAAACTCACAGGGGCAGTTCAACGACAGGGTCGCTATGAGTTGGCACCGATTGATGGCAGTGAGTGTGTTTGTTTGTTTTAACCAGCGTTTGAGACAGAGAGCTGTTCCTCTTGGACAAGTCATGTAACCTTCCTGGATTTCTGTTTCCTACTCTGAAAGTGGCTGCTGGGCATGGCTCTGGGGAGAGAGCACTCACGCTGTGGTCTAAGTTGATGGCCCTCCCAAAGTGTAACTCCAGTGGAAAGGTCAAGTGATTCTGAGAGCAGCGATGAAAGTACCCAGAGTTTAACCAATTCAACTTTGGAAAATCAAATGAGATCAGACACAAGAAAATCATCCTGTGAGAAGGAGACACCTGCTGGCATGGCTGGTCCTTGGTGGGTAAGAAGGGATGGTACGCAGGACTGTGCATCCTGCGTAACTTTAGAAAAGGGTACTTAGGGCTTGTTCGGTCACAGTGGGACCCTGATAAAATCAGCAAGGCTGATGCATGCTTTGAGCCTCAACAATGATATTAGCATATACCTCCGTATGTGCTAGGTCTTTCTAGATTAATCTTCAAGGATGACACGATCATTTCCATTTTATGGAAAAAGAAACTGAATATTGAAAAGGGTAAATGGAAGAAACCAGTCCAAAGATTTACTATATTCAAGATCATCTAGCCAGAGAGTCTGAGCTGATTCCCCTTTCCTTTAATTCAGCGGTTCTCGGGGGTCGAGCAACCCTTTCACAGGGGTCTCCCAATTCATAACAGTAACAAAATTAGAGCTGTGAAGTAGCAATGAAAATAATTTTACGATTGGGGGTTATCACAACATGAACTGTATGAAAGGGTCACAGCAATAAGTTGGTTGAGACCCACTGCTTTAATTTCACTTTGGTGAGAACAGTGAACCTATGAGGGTGTCAACTCTGGGTGATTCCATGTGTATACAGAATGGAAATGGGCAGGCTTATAGGATTTCTTTGAGAGAATATGAGCCAACTTTCAGAATAGGCAATTTTCTAATTCTCCGGCCTAAGGATACTTTTCTTTTGGACTCTTGGGCAAAAAGAAGACACAAAAGCAGGTGTACTGGAGAAAAATGGATGTGTGGCTAGATGAAAGTGCGACCATCTGGGAGAGGGTGGAATCAAACATATGGCATTGTCCATGAACTTTGTGAAGCCTGCTTCCGTATGGAAGAGCTCTTAAACCCTACTATCTACTCTTTTATTTAATAGGAACAAAGTCCAGGGTTCTTAGCAGTGACAATGCTGTTGAAGCTTACCAGGGCTGTCAGCCCAAGTGGCTAACTCTCAGACAAAGGTTGAGTGAGAAAACCGGCAGACTGACCCATTTTCTAAAGCCTGACTAGGTAAACCAGCCACTAGAATTCCTATTTTCTGCCAAAATATTCTGTGCTTTAGCATAGATTATAGAAGCCAAGACTGGGAATATTTTACTTGACAAGTAGACATTACTCCATGTTAGCTTCGAGTAAGACAACTAAATCGAGCGCAATGCAGTATTGCCCGAGTTCAGTAGATACTTTCAATCCCATTATCAACTCTTCCAAACAGATGCCCACTGAGAATGAGAACTACTGTCTTATACATAGCAGGTGCATATTAACTCTTTGTTGAATGAATGAATAAAGATATTTAGACTTGAAAAAATAAATTTATGCTCGATTCTTTTCTAATATTGTTAGTATTATTACAGCATGATTCATTCTGGATAATGAATACTGTAACATTGTGTTAGGTCTATTCTCAGTAAGTTCTTTCCATATGCACTTAATTCTAGGCCTTCCTCCATAGACCCTACTTGACTTCACCTGTTACTGACAGGTCATGCATTAACTTTGTTGGCACTAATGTCCACTTATACAGTTTGTAAGCCTGAAAGCAATATGTCTTTATAGGAGCCAGCTTCACAGAATAGTTTAGATGCGTGCATACAACCATACATTAAAAAAAAGGGCTGTTTTTGAGTCAATCTAATTAATTGTGAACCATATGTATACATACAGCAAAAGGACAGAATTCTTAGAATTCTTTTAAGACAATTGTCCCCAAGTTTCTGAATAGGTGATTTCCCAATCTTTTACACTTCTAATCCTTATCACCTAAATTACAGCACAACATAAAAAGCCAAAACAAGTCCATGGAAACCAACTGGATTCCAACTCATCATGACCCTGTAGGACGGAGTAGGTTTGTCCCCTAGTTTTCCCAGAGCTGTCATCTTGATGGAGACAGACTACCGTCTTACTCTTCTGCAGAGCAGCTAGTGAGTGAATGCCAATCACTCCCCCGCTGTGTCGCCAGGGCTCCTTTGGAATTGCAACATAGTTCTATCAAAATTGCTTTTCTTTCAAATCAACAACCCAAACTTAGAACCACTGATCAATTTTAAAAAAATGAAATTTCTCTATCTTTAATCCCTAATTATGATCCACATAATGGAAAGGTATAGATTTTTACCTAATAATGTGATCTGATTGTGAAAATTGCATCCTAAGGCAGATGTGAGACTCTCCTCTCTTTTGCAAAAGGAATGCTGGTGAGAAAAACCCAGAGTGGGAAAAACCCACATTCTGATTCGGAACT